ATGGACTTCAAAAGTTGTATTTTGTGACACTTTTATAAAGTTGCAACTTTGGGGGGGATGTCATTAAGGTCCACTTAAATGATCTGCTTAAGATTTAGCAGCAAGTCGTAGCGTGCTAATAAAACAAATCTGCATTTTAATCCAGATGTTTGTTTTTACGTACAATTCCAGTTCCTTTGTGTTATGTCAGTACGGTGCTGTGGCAGGCCACTGCTGCTGCCGTGCTCTTTAATTTGTCCTCTGAGGGCTTTTTGAACACAGAGGTGGCATGTTGTACCTCACCACACATCTGTGGAGAACTTGTAATAGAACAAAACACGTAGGCAGATAATGTGCAAATCAAAGCACAAACGTGAACACTTCCAAAATGTTTGTGTGAGGTTATAGGAAATATTGCTAAAGCTGGTGCCAAGTTGTCAAACAACACACTATTTTAGATTAACTGTGCAGTCTAAGCAAAACGTACTTACTAAACATGGCTTTGAGATTTGCTCTAACTCAATTTATCAAAAACGGTACAAACTTTTCTTTTCTGCTCTGGAATCTTCTTAGTGTTCTGCAAATGCTCTCTCTTAACCATTGCTAGATGGTTAGAAATAAGTTTTACAGTAGAGTGTTTTTTATTACCTTTCAAAGTTTTGTGGAAGAATTACGAGTATAAAAAATGCCTGTTAAAAATAGCTTTGTGATGTGTTGAAATTAGAAGAAAAAAGTTAAAAACTAACAAGCTAATGCTAGTCTGGATGTATCCAAGAATGAAGTAAACTGCCACCATCTTAAAACAGCTCCAGTCTAAAAACATTTGAGAGCGGTTCACAGGCCTGTCGCGATAAACAATAAATCAATTAATCGTATCGGCTTTACCGTTTCTTCGTGTCTCTCTTTCTACTGAAGACACTGGATGACAAAAGGCTCAACTCCGGTGCTCTTTGCTGACCCCTCCCTTTCTCTTTTCTTTAAAATAATAAACAAAGGGAGGCCCAGGCCTCCCTTGCAAAAGAGGTCTGTGATCTCAATGGGATTTGCCTGGTCAAATAAAGATTAATAAAAATCTATTTTAACCGTCCAAAATCGTGTTTTTGCATCGTTAAAAGCAGCAAAAGCTGAGAAGCTAAGCTACGAGTAAAGCTAACAGCTCGACCTCGGGAAAAAACCTCTGTCTTGTTGAAGCTCCAAAATTCATGGTTGAAACCCATGCCTTTGTCTAAAAAGTTGATTTTCTTTGAAAAAAGAAGCTGAGAACTTGTTTGCTTATTTTTTTTTATTAAAAGCTTTGTGTGACAAATGCTGTGCTAAAGAGCTCAAACCACACCGCGCATCCGCCATTTTGAGAACTGAAAAAAGGAGAGACAGCCCATGTTACGACAAGGGACCTCCCTCCCATTTTTCTTAAAGAGACACGCGGCTCGCTCCCTCACTATCCATCCTTCAGTTCAAACAGTCTTATACTGCCATCCAGTGGTCAAAAAAGGTACTACACACAAAAATTGACCAACATTTCTTCTTAAATTTGACAATAATTACTAATTATTGTAAAATTTCAAACAATATTATTGTTTATCGCTATAATTTCAGAGACAATTAATCGCTCAACAAAATTTGTCATCGTGACAGGCCTAGTGGTTCATGCAAGTGCTACTTTATAAGCCTTTATATCTCTCTTGATTTCACAGTACATGGTTATTTTCATAAAGTGATTATTTGTAAGCACAAATAGCAGCAGCAGTGTTGAGGTGTAGCACTTCTGGTACAGCTTGCGTCACTTTCAGCAGAAAGTTTGGTAGTATTTCTGCTGTAATACTCATGCAATGTGAAACTGATGGTGGTTTGAAGGTTGAGATAACAGCGTCTGATCTCATACTGCTGACTATCTCATGCTGCTGTATTCATTCGTACCCATCTACTCACAGACTCATGTTCGGGCTGCTGTTTAATATACCGCATTATTTTACATTATTAATGTTTAGCGTGTATCTGCACCGTTTAGCGTTTGTTTGGTGTATCAGTGCAGTGTGAGCTACTTTAAAAATGACCACGTCCAAGTGATCTACCTACTATAAAAATACAAAACTTACACTTATTTATAAACATATTAAGTATGCTTTTTATGTTTTAAGTTCTTGTTTTTAGTATTTTACCATGTTTTATATGGCACTTTGATTTATTGTTTCATAACACTGCATTTATTTTAATTTCATTTGACTGTAGTTTATTGTTGAATGTACTTTATATGTTGTTTGTCTAAAACTGGTCTCTCTTGTAAATGAGTCCTCGTGACTCAATGAGACTAACCTGGATAAATAAAGGTTGAATGAATGATTAAGTCCCAGCTCGCTGTGGACGCAACATAAATGACAAAACCCAAAAGTTTGTTTCAAAAATAAAAAAATGACAATTTATTTTTACAGTCCACGTACAAAAGAATAAAAAAACAACACAGCAATAACTTCTGTTCTTCACACAAAGAAACTGGAAACAATGAGAGTAAATTCATGTTTGAAAAATAATCTGAGAACTTGAGAACAAAAGTGAAAACTCAGCCCTGACAGCAGCTGCTTTTAACTGTAACCGTACTTCTTGATAACTGAGAGCTTTGATGGAAGATAATATTTCTGGGTTATTTTTAAAGTCTCTGAACAAAGAGTCAGCTGCTTCAATGAATGACATCTCTCCGTCTTGAAAGGACTTCTTCTTCTTAACAATTAAGTGACTCACCCGGAATGATGCTTCGGTAGTTGCCTTCACTTTTGTGGTCAGCTGTAGGAAAAAGGACCGCTGTCCAGATAACTGGGATTTTACTTCCTTTTTCTTTCTCAGCTCACTTTTCAGAAAGAAGTCAGTGTCATAGTTTTTGTGAATATAGTCCGAAGATGCCACTCCGGTACACTTGCAGATGAGGCAAACGCACTTTGAATATGACATTGTGAAAAAAAAAATCCTCCCCCATTCCGTATGGAAATGGTAGATTTTTTGCTTCTTACTTGGTCCAGCTGCCCAACTCATTTGACACTTTCTTGAGTTTAGGTTAGAATAAATAAACTGGAGGCTATTACTAGGCAACTTGTTTGTTTTTAGCACGGTTGTATGCACATGCGTGGTGACCTATGCGTTAGAAAAGGTCCGGTCTTAGATTGGCTGCCCTGTATGTCAATCAAGTGATTAATTGTATAGTGAGGATGGATGGCTGATGTCTTAAAAAAAAAAAAATTTAATTAAAATATATTTTTTTAAAGTCTGACGTCTATTTCGCCACGATCTACTCAAATTGCCTTCACGATTGATCGGTAGATCGCGATCTACCGGTAGGCGATCGATGTATTGGGCACCCCTGTCTTAGTGTATGTCTTAGATCCTTGTATACCGTTTCAATTAATACTTTATATTTTTGCTATTTTTGGGTGTAACTGGAACCCTTTGTACACAGTTTAGTTCCACCTCATGTACCACATGTGATACGAATGACAATAAAGAAACTTGAACTGCATGAACCTCTGTGAACGTCAAAGACTTGGAGGTGTTTTATGATGGGGACTGTCTGCTTTATAGTGTTTGCATGGCCCTTTTTTGACACACTATTAACGACCCTTCCAAATTAGATCAGCACCATCTTAAAACAACTTGAGTCTTCAAAATTTCAAAGCAATTTACACATATGCTGTTACTTAAACTTTCACATTTTGGTCCATTTTAGATTACATGATTATTTCTGTATAAATTTAATTAAACCAACCTCACCAGAAGGACCTCTGCAGTTATTTACACTTGCAAATAAGCACATAATTATATGTAAATAACAATCTGTTGCTAAATTGACGCTGGCGTAAAGATCTGTTTACATAGATAAAATATTAATTCTTCATAAATTTCCCACAGAACCACCAAGAGATTGAAATATCCCTTTGAGGCCGCACAGTTCTGTGTCTGCAAACAGTGATACAGAGTAGGAGGGTATCAGGTCTCACAGTTGTTACTTAATGTGATTTATCAGTATAAACTGGAACTTTTCTTTACAAACTTGTCTTTGCATCTGGATGTGAGCCCTTGGATTAAATTAAATGTTCTATAAAATGGTCAGTCCCAACGTTCTGCAGTTTCCAGTGGGCTGACAGAGGTTTCGCTGCAGATCCTTCACAGAGTGATATTCCTGCCTCGTCTTAAACGCATGATGTAAGAGTATTCCCACACCATTACTCACTGGTGCGTGCAGGCGGTGGGAAGAGCGAGTGGAGCTTGCTCACTGTTTACAGTAACTGTTTAATCCACGTATCAGCTGGCATGCCTGTCAGATGTCATACGCTGATATGTTTCACAAACACCACTGACGCATTTTACAACAAACAAATCAAATCTGACCTCAGGAAATAACTTAGATTTTTATAAAATAATTTAAAAAAAATTGCCAAACATCTGTGCACATCTAATAATTACAGTAACATTTATGACTGTTCTATGAATCACTAAAAATACCAGTAATTTTAATTTAAGACAGGCAGTTGCGGGATCATTACATCATTGCATATCGCCCAGTCTTGCATGCTGTTGTGAGATCTGTTAGCATGTGTCGGGATGACTGTCAGCTACTACCACATCAAACTCAAAGCACAGTATCTGTAAGATTGACTGAATTACAGCCATTTTGGCTACTGGCTGCTGTAGGTTCTGTCTGTAGGTTGTAGGTGCCAAATGACCTGTTACCACCAAACACAGCGTGTTATTTAAATAAACACAGAGCTTTTTTTTATCCATGAACGGCAGAGCACTGGAAGATGTCCATATATGTAACTCACACGCAGTCGTGAAGGTATGCAGGTTTACAGTGAAATATCTTAAATTATGAATTTCTTTTAGCTGCTGGTTGCTGTTGGTTTATGTTTCATGCTGAAGTGTACAACGTAGATATTAGATTAGTACCTCTTTTTTTTCACCCACAACAAACCCCAAGAGAAAAAGTCGACTTAGGTGTAAAATGAGTGTGACTTCCTTCCTCTGTATCGCTGCAGGGCACGAAAGAGGACACAGCCCAGCACAAAAAGCCAAAGTTCCTGAGTAAGGCTGGTTGGGTGAAGAAAGCTCACGGCAAACTGTTGACAAGCTACAAAGACCGATACGTCCACGTGGAAAAGACAGAGGTGGTGGTGTATGAACATGAGGTACAGCGCAATAAATCCACGTACTGCCATTCTCTGTGCGCCATCATGAATTTGTTGCTAATTGTTGATCAAATGTCAACACTGACAGTTGGACGGACTACTTTTCACATAATCTACTTGTACGTTGTGTTGCAGGACCTGCAGAACTGCTTGGAAAGGTTTGACCTGGAAAACTATGAATCGTGTCACGAATTAAAGAGCCCGTTCAAGAAAAAACACAGGCTGGTACTGATACGCTCACCCAAGCCTGGAAATAAGGTGAGCTGGGGGACGCTGTGGTGGTCAGTCATGATGGAGTGCAGCATGCTAATGAATAGTAATTACACGTGTGTGATTCGTCCCATTCTAGTGCACGTCTAGCAGAAAGTGCATGTGCCTGTTTATTTGAGCCGAATACAATTTAGGTTAGTTTTTATATCACTATGCAGCATGTACAATAATACAGTTTCTTCACAATGTTTGTTTGCTGTGACTGATTTAGTATGTAAGCATCATCTTACTGGTCAGCATTATTTCACTGGTACATGTGTTTTATAATTTGATTCACTGATAATATATGTGTTTTATAATTTGATTCACTGATTCACGTCATTTCACCAGATCAGATGTCTGTTCCAGTGTATTTTTTAATCATTTTTTTTCTGTGCAGGGCTAACGTGCATAGAGGCATTTAATTAACACAGATCACACTGCTTGTCTTGTTATCGCTGCCTCAGTATCATCAGTTATCATCAGTATCATCAGTTTAGTGAATAACTCTCTTTACAGTGCTGACTAGCTTCTCCAACTCTGATTGGTATTTAGAAATGCTGCTGAAGATTTAAGACTCACGACTCAAAGGAAGATCTATAGTATGAACAATAGCTGGTGACATGACAGACTCTTTAGTGTTTGTAAAAAGAGTTGTAGAGGACATTTATGAATGAAGCTGAAAACAATGATTGGGACTGTAGCTAGAAGCTAGAGCTCGACCAATATGGAAATTTTGGCTATCGCTGATACCGATGTTGAGAGGGGAAGGCTAATGCTGTTAACCGATATAATGGCTGAATTTTTTTTAGGTTTGTCCACTCCCAGGAATCTAAGTAAACAGCTACTTTTAAACCTGTTTTAACACTTGAAGTCTTGAAACAGTCTTGAAACAGTCTTGAAACAGTCTTCCTAACGTGCGTTCACATTTACTGTCCTCCACTATTCACCATTAAAGTTATCAAGTGTTACAAATATATAAATTAAACAAAGAAACGTCCTTCCCTGTTCACTGTTTAAACAGTCATGTATGGTGAAGGTCTAAGTGACCGAAGCTGGTTTTTTAGTTTTTTTTTTTGCAGAGAAGTAAAGATTTCAGACAATGATTTCATCGAGGACAACAACGATAACATTACCAACATTGATATACTGTATTTTACCTCTACGTTAGATTTATTGTTCTGGACAAAATGTTACAAGACAATAGCCTATGCTAGGTTATCTAAACGTTAGCTTGCTAACTTGAGAGGCACGTAGCTAATGACAAGTGAGTTGGAGGATTGAAGAGAATTTATTATTTTTGATGTTTTATTTTGCAGATCAGTTAAAATAAACTTACCTTGCTCTGTTCAGCAAAAGATGCTACACAGTATTGCTCGCTGCTTCAGCTGTGCTGAACGTGAAAGTAAAAGTGAACAGCCATAACTTGAAAGTAGTCCGCATGTGCACTCTGCAGGATACCTTGTACAATTACAGAATTTTTCAGCCTATAAGTCGCGTTTTGTTTCTGTTTTTTGGCATAATTTGCATGCCCTGGGACTTATATGCCAAAGCGACGTATTTATGAATTTTTTCCATATTCATAAACCAATTTTTGGCTGAAATATGGCTGTTTTCATTCATTCTGACTGAAAATATTGAACACTACCATTTTCAGCCGCTAGATGGCAGTCGAGTTGTATGGCATGCCGTTGTATCATGTAATGGGTAAAAAGTGGCTATTAATGACACAATCGGCTTGCCATAGTAGCCACATTCGTCCAGTTCGCCTGGAGCAACAGTCAAATCAGCTTCATTTCGCTCCTTTTTGCCAGTAAAGACACAGCTTGTTCCCAGTGTTTATATCAACGCATAATGGGGCAGTTATCACAGATCACCTATATCGGCCTCAAACATTGGCCCTACCCATATATCGGTCAAGCTCTATTATAAGCTTTAATGCTAGGCTACTAAATTGACATCACCAATTAATTTTCTATTTATTAAAAAATGCCAATTCACAACATATGTACTCTCAAGGCTCTATACAGGAAAAGAAACAGATTTAATTAAAATCCAGTTACACTGAGTTCACTTCAGTCCATCTGAAATACAGTCGGTTTACAACTCAATCCGAAACATCAGGACACGTTACGTAACGGGCAATTTTATCCTTTATTATTCAATATAGACCGATTCTGTATATTTTAACACTTTGAGCCAGCTTTATCTTGGACTACCATGTTTCTGTCTTTGCTGCACCAGTTTCCCTTCAGGTGCTGACCCCTGCTGACTTTAAACATCCCACAATAAGTCATCGCGGTCACAGTCATAAGGGCTCATAGCTTTACAAATGACACCCCCCTCCCATTATTCAAACTAGCTAAGATTGACTTTCTGGGTCAGCCAGTGGTTTTAAACAGCTGGTTGTTTACTAAAGAAACTTTCTGAACTTTATCCTGGTTTGGTACAGTTTTTAAAAACATTCCACATTTTTTCAGGCTGTTTTTATTTTTATTTTTATTCTGCATGTTTGTTTGTTTTTCCCAAAACTTTCACACATTTGTTTCCAGACAGTTTTGTTCCTTGAGAGTTTTCCCAGGAACAAACTTGACAGAACATGACATCTTTGTATCATTTTTAGCCACAGAGGGGAACCAAAAGAACTGGATGCTTCTCTCTGTTTATCTATGGCTCAAAAGTGTGGGAAGATGTTAAATCTTGTGATAAACATCAATGAATGCAATAAGAAATGTTCTAGGCTTTCAAACATGTACCTAATTATTACTGATATTTGTGATAAATGTCCCGAACTCAAAACTTTTGTGATACACCGTTCATTTTAGAGCTGGTAAAGATGATGCCCCATACAGAGCGTGATCACGTATCTGTGCTGGCTGAGTCATATTTATAATTTGATCTACTGTTTTTGATCATTTCAATGTTTAAAAACCATGCTCAGTTTTATTGGTGTCATTAAATGTTTTCTGATATATTTATTTTCATGCCTTGGACATGGATAGGAAGCCTACAAGGTTAAATTGGTAAACTTCACAAACATATTTATGTAACACTTTGAAAGTGATGCCAGTATAATTCAGAGTACTGAAAAGTAAAACAAAAATAATCGTATTTGTCAAATTATTATCGTTTTAAATATCACCATGAACATTTCCCAATAATTGTATTGGTTTAGCCGTGAGATCCTTGAATCTGTTGGTCGTTAATAGTCTCTTGTTGCTGTTGCTCATGAACGAGGGGAGGATGGTCTGAGCGGGACGTGAGGAGCTACTTGGCTGCCTCGTGCGTTCTCCAGGGTAACCTGCTCAGCTCTGGCTGTAGAGAAGCAACAAAAAGGAGAAAACATTTTGAGGAGCACACAGCAGTGATCTGCCACAATTCAGATACAGTCGTCCCTCGTGGTTCACTTCTTGCAGCTTCACTGCGTAGGTTTTTTTTTTTTTAAACCTGTTTTTTTTATATTGTGTGTACTGTACATGCCATCATCATCATCTCCATCGCCAAAGTGTTTAAGAGCACATGAAGTGGTTATAAGAGAGTGGGAAAGGTTTGTAGGAGTGTGGGAAGGGTTTATAAACTTTAAACCTATATGTGAATGCCGCTACTTCACAGATTTGCACCTACCGTGGGGGTCTCTGGAACGTAACCCCCACATTAAGTGAGGGATCACTGCACTCTGGATTAACAGAAAAGTGGACAAGGTTGCTAACTCAATGCAGAGAACGTAATGTCTTACTCTACTGGCAGGTCCATGATGTAAAGTTTCAGACTCAGTCTGCTGAGGAGAAGGAGGCTTGGATGAAAGCCCTCAGCGACTGCATCAGTCGTGCAAAAAACAAAGTCTTTGATGAGGTAAACTTTTGATCCTCAGTCTTAATTTCAGTCACTTTCCTTCTATACACACAGTTTCTAGAGCTCAGATTTCTTCATGTTTTCCAGGTGAAGGTTGACGAAAGCATCAATTTAGAGCATGTTACTCGAACAAGACCCAAAGGTAACTGTAACCGGCGGCCACCAACCAGGATACACATGAAGGAGGTACGTATGTTGTCTGTCAGCAGGTGGGGACACACATCCACCAGGCAGTTCCACACCCACACTGAGTAGTTGAGGATTTTAGGAAATCATATTTATGTTTCATCTCCCTTTTTGGAGAGTTGGTAGTGGATGGTTTAAACACATCCACTCCATGAGTGTAACGCTAACTTGACGCTAAACCAAATCATTCTGATTGTTGTCGTCCCTCCTCAGTATTTTTTATCTTATGTTAATTTCCATTTGAGTCACCGTTACAAAACTGAAAACAATATTTTAATGTTGTTTCATTAATTGAAAAAAGGGATTTTTAAGTAAATTATATCTTGCTTACAACAGCTAAGTTAGTTTACGTTTTGGCTTACAGGTAGTTTTACTTTACTTAACAAGAATGAAGCAATACTTATGCAATTTTTTTATTCTATTCAGGGTTCCTTTGTCTTTTTGTTTCTCTCTTTTTTGCTTAAATCGATTGCCTTTATATAGTTAACATCAGGGCTTAATTTGTAAACTGATCCATACTGGAACATAAATAGTGGGCAGCGGGTGGGGTGGGGGAGTGCGGGCCGATGGGTGTGTGGGTGGGGTGCTGGTGGGGGAAGTGGAGGGAGCTTGCGTGTCCTCCCCCCTTTAAATTTTTTAATAAAGTAGATGCTATTTCATGCATTTTGGTGCAGCCCATTTTAACGGGTTGTTAAACAGTTACCTACATTTGTAAACACTTGATTCAGTAACTATATTAGAGAGCAACAACAGGTTGTGTGTGAATTGAGCAGCTCCGATTCTGTCAAGCATCCCCCCCCCCCCCCCACACACTTTATGTTTCTGAGTCTAACTCTTCTCCGCTGAATTCATTCCTGCGTTGTTGCTCCTGCTGCTCCAGTCTCAATCACCACTGCCTTCTCAGGTGTCCAACTAATGACAAACATCCATCCATCCATTTACTTTATGAAAGTAAACTGGACGGTCTTTTCGACATGTTGATCGCTGTTATTTTGACAAAGTAACACCGTTGTTTTGATACGTGATTAATGAAAATAATACTCAAACATTTCTCTCGTTGTATTTTATTTACCGTAGCTAAGCATTTTTATTTATTATGTCTGAAACATATGCGTGAGTTCACATCAGCAGTTCTGGAGACGCTCCTGTGCGTAAAGTATGGTAAGCTAAGTGGTCCATTAATAGTCACTTTACCACACGTCTGGTTATTAATGGGCTACTTGGCTTGCCATAATGATGAATACACTTCATCCCTGCGGGACATGCAGTCTGCGTCTCTGCTGGGCAGTTGTATTTTTAATAAATAATGAAAATATCAATGTGCGATGACTTTGGACTTTTAGGGGCAGAGATAAGAGTTGCCGGATCCGAGCGAACAGTTGCCAGAACGCACCCGGTCAAAATGAGAGACTTTCTGGATCTTGTTCCAGCAGGATCCGGCTCAAATAAAGGACTGGTTAACATGTTTGAAATAATCCAAACAAACAAACAATAGTTGGTTTCATTTACTCAAAACAGAAACACCAGATGTTTGTGGTTAAAGTGGCATTATGGGTAAGCAAACAGCCAAACGTCCTGATGCTGCTCAACAATCCAGGTAGATAAATCTAACAAGGTTGAGTCAGGTCCTCTGGACAGATTCTTCTTTGTTGAAATCTTTTATTGTTAAACAGGGGCGGACGCCTCCATGTCTTACAGGACATGACTCTTATAGGACCTGACTCAACCTTGTTAGATATAACCAAACATTGTAATTGACACTGTCTCTTAATAGGCCAATGAATAGTTTCCTATGAATCAAAATGACCTCTAATGTACAGCCTTTACTGAAGAAAGCACATTGTATATTTTAAATGAAATATCTGCCTGGTTTGGATTTTTTTTACCTTTTAGGTAGCGGATGTTTCATGTGATGGTATCCTGCGTTTGGACCTTGATCTGGAGGATGCAGTGATGCCTAATGGGACCCACCGTGCCAATACAGATGGCACTGAGACCACTAAGGGAGCTCAAACAGATGCTGGCAAAGTTTCAGGGAATCCATTAGTGCCAGTTGTTGAGGAGGATGCTCAGGCTGAACCAGAAGCCCCTACCCAGAAGAAAGCCATCAAACCACCTATGCCACCCACCAAAGAGGCTAAGTCCAAGTCAGCATCTGAGGATGAACCTGTTACAAATGATGGTCTGGAGAAAAAGGTTTGTTTTTTATGTAACTGTGCAGAAATCTTTGTGAAAGTATCTCTGTGCAAATTATTTATTGTTTTTCATGGTCCTGAAGGTACCGGTGCCGCCATTAAAAGAAGCCAAACCCTCTGAAGAAGCTGCAAACGATCAAAGAGCTGGAGTGAAGAAAAAGGCAGGGCCACCGCCGCCGACCCCTCCCAACAAACCCAGCACCAGCAGCTCCTTGAGCAATCTTACTGAAATCTCGCCGTCAATGCCAAATTCCCACCCTCCCACTCCTCCAGCCAAAGAGAAAAAGCCTCTTAAAACTGCAGCGGAGCTCGATCAGCAGGTTCAAGCTGCAGCTGATGAGAAGAAGGAGAAGGAGGAGGATAGTGGCAGTGAAACAACAGAACCAGCTGTGGAAACAGACGAGTTGAATTCAGACAAAGTTGAAGACGATCAACTTGAGAGTGCTGCTGCCAAAGAGAAAGTTTCTGATGAAGAGACACCTGAGGCAGTAAGCTGTGGAATAATAAAGACATCTGACAATGACCAACAAGAACCTGCTGCACCACAGGGGAAAAGCCTAAGTCCTCCTCTAATCTCCAAGAAAAGTTCTGAGGACCATGTTCCTCCTGCCACGCAGAACAAAACCGACCCCTCAGCTATAACTAAGCCTGATGCCCCCTCAGTTGTTGTCTCCTGTAATGACCCCCTCACTGACAGCCTCAGCCTTCTCTGTCACTTGTCTGGAGAGAAGAAGAAGAAGAAGAAGGCAGAGGAAAAATCTGTAGACAGTGGTCAGCACTCAGATGATGAGAGTGAAGGCTCTGGGTGTGAAGACTCGCTGGCAGCCTCCACAGCTGCACTCCGAGGAAGCAACGTCGCTCTGGACGTGTTGGACGCCTCCGACGACAGCATCCAGGTCTCTGTTAATTTAAGACCATCAGCTGAGCTTCAGGTTAGACCAAACGCTTTCCCCTGTCGGCGGTCGCAGCCACTTCAGAAACCTCCCAAACCCTTAAACAAGCCCAGGTCAGCCTCCATCGGTGACCTGCTGTCCGAGCCTTCAGACTGTTCTCAGAAACAGCGCGGCAGAGCTGCCGATAAAAACACACCGGCTCTAAAGGATGATGTCACAAACCTGGAGATTGAAGTGGCTCTGGAGATGGAAAAAACGAGTGAGCTCCTGAGCAAGGCACAGGGGGAGAGTTGTGGGGAGGACGTGCCTGAGGATCTGCTGGCTAAAGCCTTGGAAAAGCTGAAGAAGGCTGACAAAGTCCTCAGGGAGGTCAACAAACTGAAACTAACAAAAAACACAATCGACAGGATGAGCTGGTGAATACTGGCTGCAGCAGAAAGACTGATGGTTAAAGCCTTCACGTGGACAGTGTTTTAGCAGCTGTAGATTAGGAACCCAGTCCTGTGGAGACTTCGCCTGTTTGATTTGCACGAGGCCTAAAGATGATAAGTGTAAAAGGGTAACAAAAAGTGATGTGGGTATTCACAGCGTGCTTCTCCTCTGCAACACAGAGATCCGTCCTGGTTTAACTCAAAATGGTTAAAGGAAGATGCACTTGATTTTGATGAAAAATGTAAACGTTTTCAGTCAAAATGCAGCTGATGCTGAAGAAAGGGAGAGTTTGTTGTAGCTTACATCAATCAGCTTCAAACCACCAGAGTGGGGGGAAAAGTTTTCAGTTGCAAGTTCTTGAAAACTGGAAATGTGCTTCACAAATGCGAGAGAAACCAGTACAGCTACTTTAGCTACCGTATTTTTCGCCGTATAAGTCACACCTTTTTGCAAAAATTTGTAAGTCCTGCGACTTTTACACCGACTAATATACGTTTTTTTCCCCCAATATTTATAACCCAATTTTTGGCAGAGAGCTGACGATTTCATTTGTTCTGACATGAAAAATATTAAACTATCATTTTCAGCCACTAGAGGGCGCTCAAGAATTGTGGCAAGCCAAGTGTCTCATTAATAGGTAAAAGTGGTTATTAAAGAGACACTTGACTTGCCATACCAAACCACCTTTTTCTTGCTCCGGAACTCCTGGCGCAAACGTCAAATCAGTATCATTTCGCCGCACCGCCCAGGTGAAATGAAGCTGATTTGACCATTAAAGTGCATTTATTAAGGAAAAGTTAAGCTGAGACACACCTTTACTATAATGTCGAGCAAGCAAATAGTAGTTTTTAGGTATTTATCTTGTTAAATTTCGAAGACATGTGCAGCGAGTCCTCCGTCTGTGTGCTCAGCAGCCGCAAATTGATTATTGAAATGCAGCTGATCTGACCATTAAAGTGCATTTATTAAGGAAAAGTTAAGCTGAAACACACCTTTACTATAATTTCGAGCAAACAAATAATTGTTTTTAAGTGTTAATCTTGTTAAATTCTTGTTAAAGTCCTCCCGTGCACGCTTCCGCAGCCGCCATTTGGCAACCAATCAGTTTTTGGCACAACACCAGCCCATATTTCCGGGTGGTCAGTGGTGTTGCGTAATAGATGTGACTTATACGGCGAAGCTATTTATTTATGTGGTTTTTTTCCCACTTTATTAGACATATATGGACTGATGCGACTTATACACAGATGCAACTTTTACGGCGGAAAATACGGCTACTGAGGTTTCAGGGTTTAGCGAGGTTCACTTCTTGGACCGAAGGGTCTCGTGTTTGAAAGGTTTAAGCAGCATGTGCAACGATTTGCTTACAATTAACTCAGTGCAATTATTTCTCTGCAAAGCGATGCTTAGTGTCCCTCAGTGTATTTGTGTTGTTTTTATGTATGAAAAAAATCAAACATTTGCTGAGAAGAAGAAAAAACAGTGACTTGAAGGAGCTTGTAGAATTGTGAACAATAAAATAATAAAAACAAAAGTACTTAAAGGGTTAACACCGAACTGAACCCGTTTTAATAGTTTCATATGGAAACGTCACAGCCTCTTTGTTTTCAGTTTATTGGAAGGAATTGTTAATTAACTGTACATAATTTTTCATTTTGCTGCATTGTGTTAATCATAGATGAGTGAAAATGTATCCAGATAGCTCAGGAGCTCTTTGAATTATTGTCTCGGACTAATCACACGGCTGAAGCACATGAAGGAATATTTCTGTTTCACTTAGACCACAGTTTTATAAAGATTTTTGTACTTGTACATAGAATAAAATGCCTTAAGAAACTCAGTCTAACTCTTAAAATTCAGCTTTCCATAAACGTGTCTTAATGGTGTTTATCTGCTGACCAAGAAAAAGTTATGTAATTTGAAACACAAAAGTATTAATTCACATTTTAAATGTATATGTCACCAGAATACTTTATTAAATATGTCTCATCATATAAAGTAAAGAAGAATATTTTAAAATACAGTATTGGTTATTGTTTGGAATGTTGATTAAAATCAGACAATGTGGAAATAAAGAAAGGGAAAATGTTTGCTTATGCTTTTGTTTTCGATTTAACCAAATAAATGATAGAATTTGCATCTATCTGTGAATTTTTTATTAGTTTTTGTTGATTTCACAACATTCAATAATACATTAAGGTCATTTTAAAACCCCAAATCTAATAAACTGTTTTTAACTTCATTCATAACACATTTTTGTTTGTTACAAGCCATAAATATTTAACAAGGAGTTAAAATTGCAGAAAGGCAAACTTGGAGGAAATGCTAAAGATTTGGATATAAAACTTGTCACGTAAAGGTTTATGTGTCCAAATTATTAAAGATTCACAATGACACGTGTACCAAAGTAGTTTTGTCAAAGAAAATATTTTAATCCTCCAAAAGTATAAACATTTGGTAACACAAGTGAGAGTTTAAAGGAAATAATAATTATCAGTGGGACTTTACATCTTTATGCCTGTAGCAATGCAAAGATGTAACACCTTATATGTTCAAATCATTAAAATAACATTCATGGTCACCAACACTGCACAGTCTGCCATTTATTTCCGAGTATTTTCAGAATAATGTGTCTTTTTTTTTTTACCGAAAAACACTAAATATAAATCATATACTCGTGTTCATTATAGTTTGGATAATTTTGTTAATTTATTAGGACACAAACTGACAGAGGAATTAGGAAACTGAGCTCCTTTGCAAGCTTTATTTTGAAGAGAATGACCGGAAGTGACTGGTCACGTGCCAGCGCCTTGACCAGTGACAGTTCATCAGCGGTCAGCGCTTTCATCTGGGGGCACATCAAAGGCAGCCAGCCGCAACATGACAGAGGTGAGAGGCGCGAGCCTCTGAAACGCGCCAGCATGGAGGACGGGCTGGTGTCGGAGGAAGATATCTGTGAGTAACATCAGCGGCTTTTATTTCCTGTAGCGGGTTTACAGCTGGAACTACAAGCAGGATGTCCGGCTGTAAGAGAAGGGAAACATGTTCTGTACATAGCGCTCGTGTATCGGTAATGCTGCCGTCTTTAAGTATATCAACACATGAGCTCGTGGGGGCTGCACGTGCTCCTCGCACAGGAGCTTTTTAAACAAGCTGTGTCTTGTCGCTGACAGTGCTCTGGTCCGAAAAGGAGCTCCACGACGCCACGAAGAGGAACGACACCGAGAAACTCGTGGAGCTGATGAAGAGGGGCGTGAGTGTCAGAGCCAGAAACAAAGTAAGTCCATGGAGGCGCTGGCAGAGCTGCTGTCTTCTGGCTGACTCTGGATCAGCTGAGTAACGTTGATGTCTCTGCACAGACAGGCCGGAAAGCATTGCACTGGGCAGCAGGAGCTGGGAATGAACAGGCTCTGCGTCTCCTGCTGGACCACGACCGAGATGTGGATGAGAAGGATGCTGTACGTACCAAACGGAGTCTTTTTAAAAGCTGTGATCCATGATGTGACAGTGCTGCTGCTTCATGGTTAACAGAACACGCACAAAACAAATCTCAGTTTAAAATAGTCGCAGCAGTTCAGTGGAAATCAAAACGATGAAAACATTGAAGTTCATGCTCAATGATCCAGGTTAAAAAAATACAACAAAGTTAAGTCAGGTCCTCTGGATGGTTTCTTTCTTCTTCTTTTTTTTTTAAACATAAAGACCATCATTCGAGGAGCCACAGCAAACTGAGGAGAGGAAACAAACTCGGGGGAGAGGGCGGACTCCAGAAACCATCTTATCACCATCAAACTTGGCCCATAGACACACACACACACACACACACACACACACACACACACACACACACACACACACACACATATATATATATATATATATATATATATATATATAAATATTCACACACACTAGACGCCCCGTTGAGCGGGCTGGCCCACTGCAACGATACGTCAGAGCGTCCGCCATTTAAAATGTGGTGGAACTGCCGGTCATTTGATGCAAAGAAATGGACAGAACTTCGTAAAACAACCAGGCACCAAAGACAACATTTGTAACTTTTAACGTTAAAAGTTACAAATGTTGTCTTTGGTGCCTCCAGTCATTGTCACTTTATTTAACGTTGGCTGGAAATGGACAGGCTGTATAACTCTGCAGTAGTTTTTTTTTTTTATTTAATTTACAGTAATTTTAGTTTTTGCACTGCAGCAGTTATTTGTCCTGGAGCTCTGCCTAACTACAGGGACGACAGCACATTCATGTACAGTTTTGTATGAAGGTACTGCACAGATAGGATGGAGGGCTGCGGGGGGTGAGACAGGCGTTGCCGTCTGATACGTACCCGCACCTCCTCTCCTTGATGTCCGTGGAAAACCGATGTAGTCTCTTACTGTAGCTGTTGACAAATGCCTCCAGGTTAAAAACCACCAGGTCTGGTTGAGGTCCGCTGTCCACAGTGCTGTTGAATCCAAGCAGGTCGTCTCTACTGGAAGCTGAGAACAGGTGCTTTAATTAGCTCCGCACTCAGGTGCCACGTTTGTGCCAACACCACCAGTAGCAGAATTACGATTAAATCCATATCACTGAATTGTGACATGACTTAAGCTAATCTGCATGTTGCGAGTCAAACATGAGCTGAATGACCAGAAATTCACAAATTAAACTTGTAGTACTTCAGATCGTCCAGACTTCGTCCCCCGCTGCAGGGTGCTGCGCAGCAACCTTGAAAGAATATAAATCGCCCACATCCTTTTACTTCAGTGTTAAATTAAGAACATATTAATTATTTATTACAATCAACTATATTATTTTATAAGTTATTTATTAATTAAGAACTAAATCTTATGAGAGGAGATGGAGTGATAGCCGTTCTATTTCGTATAGGCTTCGCCCTTTAAGGCTATCGCTAGTGGGTTTATCCCGTCGCACGCAGCGCAGCACTGAAAACTTTAGTCCATGCCCACTGGCTGTGTGGGCCCCACCCCCGGTCCGTATAAATTACAGTAAGACTGGGCAATTGGCTCCCATTTTTTCTTCAGCCAGCTAGATAGCACTGTCAGAAGAACGAAGAAGGAAAAGTTGTCCAGCTTTGACCAGCACAACCTTTGCTAAGGATGCCCGGGTCTCCGCCACGCCAACCTCCTGCCGTCCCGGTGAGCTCTTCCTCCTTGAGGAGAAGCGGAGATGAGCAGCCTTGTTCAAGGTAAGCGCCGAGGAGTGCTTTTCCGTGGTGGGACGCTATGCGTGGGACGACGCCACCGCCTTTCTTTAACGCAGAGTCACGCAGTGAATCGAATGACTCCTCCGAAAAAGGCGATGCTGGAAGCAACCTCACTGCCCCTTCCCTCCTGGAGAGTGTAGTGACGGAAGAAGAGCGGTCGAGCGGATGCTCAGCCACCTCGGCTCTTCCCACATCAGGACCACACCACTGCCAGCCGTCAGCACCCTCCTCTCGGAGCTGCCCAGCATAATCCAGAAGGCTGCTAACAGAAAGGGACTTTCCATCCCTTGCCTCCCTCCGCTCTGATTGGATGATTTGGCGGGAAGGTTTGGCTCCGCCTTGGCTCGTCGCCATGATCCCATCTGGCCTCGCTGTCCAGCTGTGACGTCACACTGGAACGAGGCTGCAGCTTGGCCTGGCAAGCTGAAGACATCCGTCTCCACCTTTGCCTCCATCTCTAGAGTGGAGGGTTTTACTGATCAGTGTTTTTCCCTCGGTCCACAAATTAATGGATTCATCCTGAGGAGCTGTTGGTCTGCTCTGTTCATCGTTACTCTGTTACAATTCGTATCCTCCGTTGTTCCTATTCACAGCAGCAGGTCTGCTATCTCAGCCTTTTTTCTCACCAAAGATCTTTTCTCTGGTGCGCTCCTGCGCATGGAGCATGCAATTACGCAGCGCGTAATTACGCACACAGAAGGCTGAGTGATGAAATATTTTTTTGTGCAAGCAGGTGCTTCATATTGTGTCTGAATGGACCCAGTGAGGCATAGACTACATCCTGCTTCGCCTTTAACCCACTAGCAATAGTCTTAAAGGGTGAAGCCTATATGAAATAGAACGTTGGTTACGTACTGGAAGCCCAGATTCTATGAGTATAGGCGCAGCCCTTTAAGCTCTGGGCCTCACTGGCTCCTAAATGGCTGAAGAAAAAAAGCTATTTGGGAGCCGATTACCCGGTCTTACCGTAATTTATACGGACCGGGGGTGGGACCCACACAGCCGGTGGGCGTGGACTAAAGTTTTCAGTGCTGCGCTGCACACGACGGGATAAACCCACTAGCAATAGCCTTAAAGGGCTGCGCCTATACTCATAGAATCTGGGGTTACAGTACGTAACCAACGTTTTGGGTCTAACCTCAATGTTATGTGTGATTTCATGCAATATTGTGAGATTTTCAATGATCAGTTAGTTCTCGGAGTACAAATTACTGTTAATTGTCAGCTAGAACCATAACCAGATTTTGGCTCAACATCTGTGAGGAGGCGGGCCCATGATCGGAAGGTCCCCGGTTCGACTCCCCGGACCAACAACATCAAAATGTGGGTGGGAAAGGTGAAGCACCAACACCTGCCTCCACCTTCATTTGCCTCACTCTGAGACCCTGACCCCCACCATGTGCTCCCCCTAGATAGCAGCTCTCTGGTCCACACAGAGGGCTGTGGTAGCTCGATGGTCTGTGGTTGTGTCAGGAAGGGCATCCGGCGTAAAATCAATCGCCAAATCTTCGTGTGAGTTAGTTCACTGTGGTGACTCCTGAGGAAGGAAGCAGCTGAAACGGACCTAGCACCAGAGGGCGGGCCCGGTCTGCCTATTCAGGTATTCGCCAACCCCCCAAGACAGATTACAATGCCATGTAAATAAGTTGAACCTATGCAATGTATTGACTCAAGACAACCAGTAGAGGGTGCTGTAGGCTATTAAACTGGACTTTTAGAGGTATAAAGAAGACAAACTAGTTTTCCAACCGCTAATAATACCGCAAGAAGAAGGTTAAGAAGACACTTTGACATGGTCATATGCCAAAATGGACATCAGAACTTGGCTGTTGATTGATTTAGATTTGATTGTTTTTTTAAGATGGATTTTCCACAGATTTATTTATTTATTTATTTGCATGTCAGATTTGTTCAACCAAAGAGTGGAAATGTTAAAAATGTTCAGTATTTTTTTAAACATCTCTTCAGGAGAAGTTCATGTGCAGTTACCTTCATGATTCTGGTGTTAATGTGTTTCAAACACAAGGATTAATGCGGTGCTAGTTTCTATGATTTATGGAAAAATTGTTTATGCAAACTTGAGCACAATATCTCAGCATGTTCTGGTGACTACATGTCACTGTTTAAGTTACAAACCGGATTCCAAAAAAGTTGGGACACTAAACAAATTGTGAATAAAAACTGAATGCAATGATGTGGAGATGGCAAATGTCAATATTTTATTCGTAATATAACATAGATGACAGATCAAAAGTTTAATCTGAGTAAATGTAACATTTTAAAGGAAAAATATGTTGATTCAAAAGTTCACAGTGTCAACAAATCCCAAAAAAGTTGGGACAAGTAGCAATAAGTGGCTGGAAAAAGGAAATTGAGCAAATAATGAACAGCTGGAGGACCAATTAACACTAATTAGGTCAATTGACAACATGATTGGGTATAAAAAGAGCTTCTCAGAGTGTCAGTGTCTCTCAGAAGCCAAGATGGTAAGAGGATCACCAATTCCACCATTGTTGCATAGAAAGATAGTGCAGCAATACCAGAATGGTGTTACCCAGCGTAAAATAGCAAAGACTATTAATTTATCATCATCAACCGTGCATAACATCATCAAGAGATTCAGAGAATCTGGAACAATCGCTGTGCGTAAGGGTCAAGGTCATAAAACTCTACTGGATGCTCGTGATCTCCGGGCCCTTAAACGTCACTGCACCTCAAACAGGAATGCCACTGTAAAGGAAATAACAGAATGGGCTCAGGAATACTTCCAGAAAGCATTGTCAGTGAACACAATCTGAATCAGAATCAGTTTATTATCGCCATGTCAATGAACGAGGTTCACAAACTAGGAATTTGCTTCGACATAAGGTGCGAATAGTAGTAAAGTAAAATAAAGTAAAAATAAATTAAAAATAAAAAACCGTGCCATCCGCCGTTGCCAGCTGAAACTCTTCAGTGCAAAGAGGAAGCCATTTCTAAGCAAGCTCCACAAGCTCAGACGTTTGCACTGGGCCAGTGGTCATTTAAAATGGAGTGTGGCAAAATGGAAGACTGTTCTGTGGTCAGATGAGTCACGATTTGAAGTTCTTTATGGAACACTGGGACGCAATGTCATCCAGACCAGAGAGGACAAGGATAGCCCACGTCGTTATCAACGCTCTGTTCAGAAGCCTGCATCACTGATGGTATGGGGTTGCATGAGCGCTTGTGGCATGGGTGGCTTGCATGTCTGGAAAGGCACCATTAATGCAGAGAACTATGTTCGGGTTCTAGAACAACATATGCTCCCATCTAGACGTCATCTCTTTCAGGGAAGACCCTGCATTTTTCAACACGATAATGCCAGACCACATTCTGCAGCAATCACAACATCATGGCTACGTAGGAGAAGGATCCGGGTACTGAAATGACCAGCCTGCAGTCCAGATCTTTCACCTATAGAGAACATTTGGTGCATCATAAAGAGGAAGGTGCGACAAAGAAGGCCCAGGACGATTGAACAGTTAGAGGCCTGTATTAGACATGAATGGGAGAGCATTCCTATTTCTAAACTTGAGAAACTGGTCTCCTCTGTCCCCAGACGTCTGTTGAGTGTTGTAAGAAGAAGGGGGGATGCCACACAGTGGTAAAAATGGACTTGTCCCAACTTTTTTGGGATTTGTTGACGCCATAAAATTTGGAAACAACAGATTTTTCCCTTAAAATGATACATTCTCTCAGTTTAAACTTTTGATCTGTGATTTGTGTTCTATTCTGAATAAAATATTAGATGTTGGCACCTCCACATCATTGCATTCAGTTTTTATTCACAATTTGTTTAGTGTCCCAACTTTTTTGGAATCCGGTTTGTATTTGTTTTGTATTGCGTAATAAACAACATGTGGTTATTTCACTTGCAAGGTTATGTAAATGTTTATTTGTGTATTTATGTAATATTGCTATATTCATTCATTCAACCTTTTACCCCCCCCCCC